GTCTAGATATTTCAGATGATTAGTTGTCATAAAGTCACTTAAATTCAATTCGTCTATACCTGGGTATATATGGGCGCACTATACGTAGGGTGCGCACTATCTGAGTAAGAAATATGCATTTTTGTAAAAAATGAAAGCGCACTATACGGTGGGGGCGCACTATAGGGCGTCAAACAGGGTACATAAAATAGAATTTAGCTAGAATATAAATATTTATTAGATTATTCACGATTAGTTTATTAAGTTTAATTTTTGTATTAATTAAAAACTTTTCTAATGAGAAATAAATTAGAAGCTTATCAAATAATACTTTCAATAACTTGAATAACTTATGAAACGTTACATTTCATACAATAATATATTTATAAATTCTCTAAATTGAATGTAATTTTGAAAGTCAAAGTCCAAACTATTAATAAAATTAATTAGTTTATACCAGTAAATTATACAACATTAAATAAAAACATAATTTTTCATATAGAATAAGAATAAAATCCAATTTATAATATCTATTATAAATGTATAATAGTATGTATGTAGATTTTATATGAATATTGTCTTAAAATACACGAAATACATTCGTGAAATAATCATCTGTTAAGGCATTTGCATATTTATTGCTTTTCAAATGCTAAATTTAGTGCATTATAATTAATTGATTATACTTGACTTTTGATAAAAATATGTAATAAACGCTTAAAGCGTCTAATCGACTAAATATGTAATCTGATTATTCATATAAAAATCAATATACTAGTGCTAAATTTAGTGCATTATAATTAATTGATTATACTTGACTTTTGATAAAAATATGTAATAAACGCTTAAAGCGTCTAATCGACTAAATATGTAATCTGATTATTCATATAAAAATCAATATACTAGTGCTAATATATCCGTTAACTTGTACAGTATAATAAAATATATAAATAATTAAATAATTAAATAATTATCCATATATTATCATTTGTGTTTAAACATACTATACTATACTGTATATACATTAAAATATAAAAAATATATAACTTTAATATAATATAATCATCAAAATTCTCAAATTATGAATTATGACATAATTTGAAATTAATTAGATTTTACGACTTTCATAACTATATTCACAAATACTCTGATATTTTCATAATTAATATAAATATGCTCTTGATTATGAACATTGAAATAAAAATTGTGCTGTTTTGTGAGAAAACTATTTTCAGTTCAAATAACAATTGTTTGCTTTACAGGTTTATAAGCGTAGGCGTCCAAACAACTCATTAACGGAAATACCTGTCAGGGTATTGTGGATAAAAATAGCAACTTTCTACAAATTCTTATTTTCATAATATAATTTATTTGCTTTCCGTAAGCATTAGTGTTTAGATAAATAAACATTACAATAAACAGGTCAACTTTGATTCCTGATGAATGAAGGTCAAAATCAATTTATTTAAAGATATAATTAAACGATTATAAATAGTTTTATCAGATGAAATAATTTTGAATTTAGAAATTTATTTAACATAAACACAATGATTTCAAAATGGTATATTCTCCTTAAATACAATACATTTATTACTCAAAAAGGGATTTTCTACAATATTATATTATATTTTCACAGAGATTTCAGGATCACACAGAATGCACTAAAAATAGAGTGAAATTTGATGGCACTATGTTGTCAATGAACTGGTAAATAGTCTGGAGAATAGTCTGTCTTATACTGTTTTCAGTCATAATACATTGATAATTTATATATTTCTATTGCAACATATTTTTAGACATACTGTAATATAATAATGTATAGTCGATAAAGTTCATTTAAGAACAGTCACATAAACTGCCCATTGAAGTGCCCACAAATGAAATTTTCCAATGTACATTGCACTATATTGCTTTACTATTATAATAATGTAATTATTAATTTCATTTTAAATATTACCACTTAAAAAGTGTTAACATCAGTGCTTTATATATTCAAATAGAAAATAGAAATACAAACTTAACTTTAATTATAAATATTGTACATACTTTAATGATAGCGAAACCATTATTTATTTGTCAAATAATATTTATAATCAATTTGATTATTATATGGTGCTTAACTTAAACAATATTCTATATAACCAGAACGATTTGTATAATTTCTGTAAATAAGGCTTAATATAATCATGGAAAGTTAATTAACTAATCATTTGTAGTACCATAATAGAAATGTAGAGAAATTCATGTTTACAGTAAATGGAAAATATAAATATAATAGAATTTGTAAGAAAAAATAATTTCTTATTATGTAACACAGAATATTCTGTGACTTGGTTTCCAGACATATTCATCAAGAAAATATTGTTCTCGTATTTAATATGCTTTTCTCATGAATTCATAAGCTCACATTTATTTGAGCCCTCCCTCGGGACACCCTGTACCCACACGACATCAACAGTCTCATATTTAAGGCAATATGAGATTATTTATTAAATATGCCTTTTCACGAAATTTGTTTTTATTATATCGTAGCCATAATCAACAGTTATGCTTAGAATTGATGGTGATTCTATAATATTCTGTATTATAATGAGATTTAATTTTAATAAGAACTAAATTCCACTTAAGTTATATAACATTAAAATAATATACTAATAAATCTTATATAAATATTTTATTATGCTTTATTATTTTGAACAATAATATCACAATTTGTCTGACTTCACAATACAGATTATACATTGCCATCATAAAAACTTAAATATTATACTTTGAAATGTTTAACAAGGTTTAATATCACAAGGGAGTACAAAATATATAGTACATTTTAGTTAAAAACATCATGAGTAGTTGGGTATAAAATATTCAATATTTACAATAATTTATATACCGATGTGAACATAATTGTTGTGCAACTTTTCAAAATGCTATAATTTTTTTATTAATCTAAATATTTTAATTTTGTTTTTTGTACTTTAGACCTATGTTATATGAGAATAAAATACACTTGTTAGATTTATTTTTCTAAGACACCTTGCTGAAATATAATCAAAACCGTTCAATCACCACATTTTTGAGTTTTTAAGCCATTGAAATTCATTATCACGGGCTGTTAAGTTAGGTGTCGGTATTTGGGAATTATCTGACGATTTTTATATTTTGAATAAATATTTTAACTAAAATTAATCATTAAAAACAAAACAAGATTCAACCCAAAGTCCAATAATTACTTGTACAAAATAATCAAAAATATGGATTTTTAAGACATTGTAATAAAATTTCATTGACTTATCAACTTAGTGGAAATTTCTACAATTTAATTCATTTAACCAAATTTATTTGATTGAAAATACTTGTACACTTGCATCTGATATATTTATAACATTTAAATGGAATTTTAAAAATAAAAATCTTTTATTTAAATATCTAAAGTTATATTTCGTTATAATGTATTTCAATGGCTTAAAAACTAAGAAATGTGGTGATTGAACGGTTTTGATTATATTTCAGCAAGGTGTCTTAGAAAAATAAATCTAACAAGTGTATTTTATTCTCATATAACATAGGTGTAAAGTACAAAAAACAAAATTAAAATTTTAAGATTAATAAAAAATTATAGCATTTTGAAAAGTTGCACAACAATTATGTTCACATCGGTATAGCGAATAATCAATTCATGTTAAATCTTAACAATACTTATGTTTAAATAAACTTATAATTAAAACTTATTTCATAAACAAGTGTATTTTATTCTCATATAACATAGGTCTAAAGTACAAAAAACAAAATTAAAATATTTAGATTAATAAAAAAATTATAGCATTTTGAAAAGTTGCACAACAATTATGTTCACATCGGTATAGCGAATAATCAATTCATGTTAAATCTTAACAATACTTATGTTTAAATAAACTTATAATTAAAACTTATTTCATTTTACCTTTCATAAACATCATCATCATTATAAATAAATAAAATATTAAACATATGCTTAGAATTGATGGTGATTCTATAATATTCTGTATTATAATGAGATTTAATTTTAATAAGAACTAAATTCCACTTAAGTTATATAACATTAAAATAATATACTAATAAATCTTATATAAATATATTATTATGCTTTATTATTTTGAACAATATCACAATTTGTCTGACTTCACAATACAGATTATACATTGCCATCATAAAAACTTAAATATTATACTTTGAAATGTTTAACAAGGTTTAATATCACAAGGGAGTATAAAATATATAGTACATTTTAGTTAAAAACATCATGAGTAGTTGTGTATAAAATATTCAATATTTACAATAATTTATATATAGCGAATAATCAATTCATGTTAAATCTTAACAATACTTATGTTTAAATAAACTTATAATTAAAACTTATTTCATTTTACCTTTCATAAACATCATCATCATTATAAATAAATAAAATATTAAACATATTATGCGATAACTTGGAAATAAACACTAGTTATTGCTTGAACATTAAGTACTGATATTATGATCAATACAAACATGGTACAAATTCACCAATTATTTACAAATTTATGAATTTTGCTTGAAAATAACACAACTATTGTTAAGTATATTAATAGGTCGGGTAGTGTTGGGGACACCGGTGCTGTTGGTGTGGGCGCTTAGCGACTGGTTAGTGCTACTCGACTGATCCAAATCGGTAATAACGTACCGATTGGGTGACCCACCATTCCGGCACCACATCATCATAGCCTGAATATCATGCAAAAAAAATAATTAGTTTACGATCATAACCGTGATTGGGTGTATGGCTAGAGGACATACCTCTCGGAACTTCTTATGCATAAAGCAATAGGTGATGGGATTAGTACAGGAGCTCAGGTATGACAGCAAATGTATGTATGATATGATTGTTGGGCTCACCATTGAATACATCTTCAAAATTGATTAAAGTATTATTTATTAAATTATTTGTTAATTAATTTGCAACAATGTTTGGCACCTGTTTGGGCCAATAGAGTGACCAGATGTTGATGACATAGACTGGTGTCCAGCATATGAAGAACTCCAACACCAAAACGCATAGCATTCTTATTATACGCTTTTTGTTCACCATTTGTGTCAACACTCCGCGAGAATTCCTGAAATTAAGTTCATTTTTAAGCAATAATATTAAATACAACAAAATGTTTAGTTGATTAATTATAAAGAGTATATATAGGGGATTAAAACAATTTAAATACATAACTCTTAGATAGCTTATTATCTTATTTAAGTTTTTGCAAATTGTAAAAATATCTTAATGACTAAATTTATAAGTAAAATATTACTCTTATTATACTAATTGTTAAAATGCTAAAATATACACTGAAAATCAGAATCCCATTTGAACAAGAAGTAACATAATTTTACCAATATTTTATAAACTTAAAATAGTTTACTGTTTCAAACATACACTCATTTTAATTTTAAAAGTATCCAAAGTTCTCTGTCACTTAATGTAAACAGAAATTACCCTATTTTCACTTTTTTGACCACCGTACTCGTAGTGCTCTCGGATCCATTAATACCCGCGCTAATAATTAGCACGTTTGTCCTATTGGACATGGATGAATGATTTGAAGTACATATACCATGATTACAGTTACAGTTATCTAAATAAAAACATAATTAGTATCCTAATAAATTATTTTTATCATAAATCTCATACAAGTAACATTATTGTTGTCGGGGGAGGACATGGATGTGGACGGACTGTCCGTAAAGTCCATAAACGTCATAAAATGCGAGTTAATATTATTATTGTTGTTCGTGTGATTAGGTCTGTCCGCCAAGTACTGGTCCTTTTGGTGTCTGAGTTGCAGAATATTGAGGGTTCCGTACAATTCCTTACTGATGAGGGTATAGTTAAGTGCCATCAATACGAATGGTATGATTAGTAACAGCAGTAGAAGTGATAAATTGAATAACTCTTCGCTGGTGTCCGACGGCCACACCTCCCGGCACTTGAATTTGCCTTTAAATACAAACATTTCAATTAAATTGTGTGATAATTCTTTATAATTATAAATATAAGTATAATAGAAAATGTTTTCCAAATAACAGTAAATCAATTGTACGTAATCACTTGTATAGTATTTGTATTTGTATTGTACATTTAATATTAATTTAATATTTATTCTATCAATTATTTATTTTAAAAACTACCGTAGTAAAATTTTTACAAAATATAAATTATATAACTGCAATATATTTTACTAGTATGTAGTTTTGGTGTTGAAAAATTCAATCAATATTTTATTGAATTTTGAATACATAAAAATATTAAATGAATTACTTTATATTTATCTAGTTGCTTGATCACAGAGTACTATTGTTCTTAAAAATACACATAAGTCTTTATAAACAAATATCCAGTACAATAAACAAATTCATTTAATAAATATTTATTATGTGTATTATTTAGCATACTGAATTATCAACATTTATTCAAGACATCTAAATATATATATAACAAATAATTATATTATACGTTAGAAATGTTTTTCAATAATATACTTAAATTACTACTATAGTATTTATATTTTGCAAATATTTAGGACTATTATATAATGATATGTTTTATTTATATAAAAATTATACTCTCCCCGTCTTAAACGTAAGACTTAATAAAAAATCGATTCAATAATAAATTCATAATAAATGTAATCTATATTTATGTCCGCAGAAAAAAATCAATAACACATAAATTGTTGTGAAATATTAGTGATTTTTATGTGCAGTACTTTTGTATAAATATTTACCTTTGAGACAAATATTATGAAAAAAACGATTAAAGCAAATACAAAACTACTACATAAACTACAATACATACCCGATGTATGAATGGGCAATAATTGACTTAATATAGCGATGGGACTCATGAGAAACATATTAGCCGTCCATATGACTGCAATCATGCGATATGCATGCGATATGGTTTGCCACCGACGAGACTCCATAGGCTTACATATTGTCAGATACCGTTCCAACGATATGATCACCAGTGTCCACGAGCTCACACCTACCGACACAGCTATTGAAATATAAGAAATTATTTTAATAGTTTGGTTTTATTTGTCATTAAAATTTAAAAGTAACACTTTAATCTTATATAAAATTATCATACCATACCATACTTATTAAAATTAAAGTAAATTTACTAGCTACATACAGAATATTAACACATTAACTTGAATACTTAATCGTCAATATAGTATTTATATTATAGAGCTATAATATAATTTTTATATATGTTAGGAAATTTTAAAATAAATTAGGTTTTGATGTAAATATTGTGAAACCTTTTATGGAATCTTAAACACTATTTTTCAAAATTTAATTAATAATTGAAAACATACTAAAGAAATACTAAAGAATTTAAGTTTTCACGTATTAGTTCACAATCATTATTAAATTACTTTCTTGAAAAAGCCATTATTGCTAAAGGGCTTTTAATATATTATAAATTAATCTAATGCAGCAAGAAAAATTCTTTCATACTTTTTATTAATATAATAATCTTTATTGCAATATTATTTTAATATTTAATATTATGATTTGGTGTTGATTACTATATCATACTATTTAAAATCCTATGTAAAAATGCTAATATTTTTGAAGCCAATATCAAATCCTATTAAGATTTTCAATAATGTATGCAAAATTAATTAACTATGAGTAAATTTATGAACTATTTCATATTAAAAATTAAATTAAATTGAATTAAATTTTACATTTAAAATAATATATTGCTTATTCACATGGTCTACTTAATTTTAATATTTATTTAATTTTTTAAAGGAAAATACATAAGCAAGTATGTAATATTCCTACGCAAAATTCCTTCAATCATATATAAGTCAAAGGTTTTTATAGTAGTCAAGGAATTATTGTAAGAATATTCTATTATGTAAATACACAACAAAAGGAATTTTATTCATAATACTAATGGTTGTGCCGTGTATTCAGTGAGAGGTTCAAAATAGCCTTCACTTTTACAATACATGTTATAGTAATGTACAAAATATTCTTGACATAATAGCCTACTATGTCAGGTACTCGTGTACCCAACTATATATGCATATGTTATATAACCAGGTTAAAGGTTCGCATATGTTTAATGATAATCATGCGACAGTACCAAAATACAAAGCCATACACTGTATTTTTGTTGTGCATTGTAGGACTAAATTACTAATTAATTTTAAATGTTTTTACTCACATTCTTACAAAGTATATACTTAAATAACATTAAACAATAAAATTATGGTTATCAATATAATAATATGTTAAATTATAAAATAAGTGAACATTACATTTTAACAACTATATTTTAGAGCACTTTTGAAACCTACCATCAAAAAATAATACTTACAGTATTAACTTTTTAACAAAAACCTTTCAATCGCATTAAATCGATAATACTATAAAGTCAGTCATAAAGTATTGCAATGGAAGTTTGTTTAATATCTCTCTTATTGGTTATAGCAAAAATCTATGCTCTGGTACACTTAAAGTTCATTATGAGGTAGTAATAAAAAAACAAGAATATTCTGTATGTCCTCAAGAATATTCTGTGATATTGGATGATTTGCTGGACCCATAGTCAGCACAAAGATTACTAATGTTAAAAATTATATGGAGTAAGAGTAT